TATCAACACCTTATTTTTATTAAAAATTATAAGAATATGAAACATTAACTTTTAATTTTGAATTTAAAAGAGATAGAATATTGAAGGCTAAATAATAATTACTTGGTGCTATGTTGAAAACAGAAGAAAAGATAGAAGATCCTAAAACAATTGTGTAGTTTATTGCTTTTGTTGAAAATTTAGTTGCTTTTGCTGAAACTCATTATATTTCAATAAAAGAGTTTTCAAGAGTGATGCATTAATAATTAAATGAAAAACAAGAAGTAAAAATAGAAATCAATAAAATTAATGAACATTTAGTTACATTGAATAAACTATAATTATAGAATAGATAAATGCTTTTAAAGCTTCCATTACATTAAATGAAATAAGAAGATGATGATAATTAAAATAAAGAAGATGAAGAAGAAATATAAGAATCATCTAATTAATAAGTGGAAGATGTTTAATAAATTGAATATTAAAAATAAGATCAAATAACTTAATAGAATATATAGATTGAAATAGAATAATAAGATGAGAATATAAGAAATGATATTTAAATTGAGAATATATAAAAATTAGAAAATTAAATTGATGATTAAATTCAAAAAGAATAGTAAAATTAGTAAACATAAAAAATAAAGCCTGACATATCTGTGATAAAAGTAACAGAGAAGATGGCAGTAAATTAGTTTTAAATTTAAGAAACTCTAAGCAATGGTATATGAGAGCCTATATGGGAAAAAATAGATTGAAGAGTAACAGGATGAAAAATAATTAATAATTTTAGATCGACCAATAAGAAAAGTTCGTCCTGCCACTCGAAAATAGTTATGACATTTATTTATAGTTTTTACTATAAATATCACAATTGTTATGTCTATATTTTATATTTTAGTTTGAAATATTAACAAAATTAATAAATAAAGAAATATTCTTATCAAAATAAAATATATATTATATTTAATTCTTAATATATATTATAATTTAATTCTGATTGTTTTGAATAATTAATCAATATTATTATATTTATAAAATCTTTTTCTTATGAGAATAAATATCAATGTTTTTAATAACAAAATAAAATACATTCTCATAATATTCCAAATTAAGATAAAAATAAAGGCATATTCTTTTTAAACTATTCCTCATTCTATTATTTGATTCTAAGTTCTAGATCTCTTGTTAATACATTAATCAATGCTTAACCTAATTGTTATTCAGATTTCACAAATTATCTACTCAATACATTAACAAAATTTTGATAATATGTACACATGATGGCAAAGAGTTATCTATTAATTTTATTAAATGTTTATTGAGAACATTTGCCTTAGATTAAACAGACAATCAAATCATTCAATATATTATCAATTATTGGATCAAGAGGTAAAACAAATGACTGAATCACTCCTAATTATGTAAGTTATTGTTCCTCTGAAACAAACTCTAAAGTTGAAATTACAATATCTGTTGTTTAATCTAATGAAATCTTATCTGTTGGTTATAGATATGAGGAAGTAGTTTAAGTTTTATATTCTTAAGACAATTACTGCAATAGATGTTTCTATAGATTTTCTACTATGCTCAGCAATGTTGACAATGATTGTGGACTTAATTCAAACAATTATAATTATTGTGAACTTACAACTTGAAGAACTTGAATCATTTACACACAAGACTTATTATAAAGCTAAATATATTAAATAAGTATTTACGATAATGTAATTGGATATCTTATGAGTAATATCTAAAATAGCTATGAGAAGGTCTAAGTACTTACGATCTGCAAAGAGTAATTAACAAGCTTGAGATATGTATTTCCCTTTTAAAATATTATTCATAACTTTGTATACAAGTCCAACCAATCTACAGATCTAAGCTGAAAATTCTTATTTGACTTTATCATTCTAAATGGCAACTATTAGATGTTGTACATAACTAGTCAATATTCCTTAAAATGTACGAACTAATTCTATTTAGACAATTGATGAACAATGGTATTAAAATCTGAGACTTTTATTATCAGTTATTGCCACCATCAATTTCAAACATAATTTACAAAGCTAAAATTACTAAGGATTATCAATTAAAATAAATCTAGTCAAATCAGCAATTTTTAATAAATGTTATTTTATCAATAATCTAAAAATCTTACTAACATCAACATGTTTAAAATAACCTAACATTTCATATAGATATATTTGAATTGATTGAGATGTTGGTTGAATTGTTAAAAGTTAATTCAATTATACTATTGACTCTATATAATTTTCATAAGCTGAATCAAATAAAAGTATAGATATAATTTCTGATGCCAAAGTACGGCAACTAAAAAACTATTCCTATTGTAAGGCTGAATTCTTTAGATTTAATAAAACACTCTTAATTTATGTGACTACATTTGAAGACTAAAATGAATCATTATATAGATGATGTTTTAGTCTAATAATTGTTTCCTTCATTATTATTAATGCATATTCAATTATTTCTTTATTTTGAATTTACAATTGCATAACAATATATTAAAGTAACTGATTAGTTGCCTATTATGGTTACATTTATATTGGTTTTATGCAAGTATCAAAGAAGATTTTATTGGATCTTTGTCTTCCTATTGATTCATCTGACTCACTTAATGCAAACTAAAATAGATTATCAGCCAAAGACATTGCTGACATAATTACTAAAGGTGGTAGATTATTTTGAGGGATTGATAAGAATTACAAAGATTCTCTTATGACAGTTTAAACCATTTAAATGATATCTTCAGTGGATCTATCTAAAATCAATGGATTAATCACTATATAATTGATTAAACTTAATTCTATTATGAATTTCTCTTAATCTTAAGCAGCATTTTTAAATGAATGATATATCATTTTTATATGATTACTCAAATCAATGGATAAGATTGGAAATAAATTTTCAAAGAATTCTTTAAGAGTATTTTTCAATTTCTTATGATTTTGAGGAGTATAACCTTGGAAGAAAGAGTTCTAAGAATTTAATAATAAATGAATAATTGATTTTCCTATTTCAGTTATTGTTTAAGATATAGATGTTTTAAAAGTAGTATCTAATTTAAAATCAGATATAAATTTAAGTAATCTTTTCATTAATTCTATCATCTAATACATATGAGGATCTTTAATTTTCATTTATCTTTACAGAATCTAAATACAAAATGTTTATAAACAATAAAGCCATTTTTAACTAAATGCAAAATCAAAACGAATTTGTCTAAGACCAAAACAATTATTTAATTTTGTATTTAATTCTAAAATATCACTTATAATTTCTTCATTTGCTTATTACACATTTAAAAATAAATATGTACAACCAGCATATAACTCTTTTGCAAATAATCTCTTCTTTTCTTTATTTACAAATATCCTTTTTTTAGATGATGCCATTCTTTTTAATGATTTCAAAGCTAATAATGCCAAAGAACTATCTTTATTACTATATGTCTCTACTATTTTAAACAATAACTCTAAAAATTATTAATCTGTAAAGTACTCAGCAAATTTATCTGGAAACTAAAAGTCATAGATTTATTCTTACACTAACATTATTTTAGTCATTGGGATCAAAATCAGATTCTAATTCAAAATAACTCACATTAAAATTAAACATTAAAATATCCTTTAATGTACTTAGAGATTATTTATATAATTGAGGAGGACTGTTTTTAACAATTCTACAAACTATCTCAAAACAATTAAATATTTCTTAATTTTAAAATCCAAACATAATTCTTCTATAAGAAACATAAGAATCATATGATGAATATTGTTGGATATTTTGTATAACATTTTATATCAATTTCAAACCAATACTAAGATTATAGATTTAATTTCCTTCAAAAAATATATTTAATCTGTCTTAGAATTTCATAAATTAAGTTCCACTCAACATCATTATTTATTAAATTAACAATCCTACAAGATTACAAATGGAATTTTGTTCATGAATTGCTAATTCCCTCTACAAAGTTTAACAAAATAATGTAACCAATGTTTCATATACTCTACATTTTTAATATAAAATCTCAACTTCATCACCTGTATAACATTAACCTACTATAATTTGAACTTCTTTAGAGGAACGTTCACCAACCTAAAATCCTTTGAATTATCTTTCTGAAACAATAATTTTAGCTATAAATTCAGAAATAACAAATAATGTAGAGCCTGATTGAGTACTGCTAATAATTTAATACAATCCATCGATATTTCTGATATCTTCTATGAATTGATAAATGGTTTAATCTGCTATTTATTTTTTCTATAAACATAATAATGTATAATACTTCAACAGATTAAGAATAACAGCAATCATGACATAGAGCATCAAATTGCATTTAATTCATTTTCTTCTTACTTTAAAATATTTAATTAATTTAATTATTTTAATCCTAATCTATTAGATGTAAAAAGGTAATAAAAATAAGCGTCCATTTTTTAATATTTTCTTAAGATTGATATTTGTAATATCTACATATATTAAGAATTATAATTAATCCTATTTATTCAAATTATCTATTTGTTAAAATTTATAATATAATAATTAAAATTCCCTCTCTTTCTTAGATGAAAATTCTTTTTTGAATAAATAATGCTTTCAAAAAATTATATTTTGAATTTAATTTAGAATGAAGATGTCTCAAAAATATAAGGAACTAAATTTAATTATAAATCAATAAATTTTATAAATAACATGAGCGAAGATACTCTGATATATGAAATATTTAATAATCATATTGATAATAATGAATTATATACATTTTATATATTAAATTTAGATAATGATAATCATCAACAAAGTTTGTTCTTTCAAAATCATAAAATTAGTACTAATTTTTATAGATGTCTATAAAGAAATACTAATATTAGGAATTGAATTGATCATTTTAGATTTATAAATTAGATTCATGAATTTACTTTATAAAATTTTCATCTTTAGAAACTGTTTTATAAATTAATATTTTTATATTTAATTAACAGTGTACAAGTGAAATGGACAGATCGACAGCAAATGTACGATCATCAATCAATTTTTTAACTAATAATGATTAAGAGTAGAGAGATAAGATAGAAATTCAATTGATACCAGCATTATAGAGTTTTTAAACTTTTATCAAGATGACTAATGAATCTCAGATGGCATAGATTGTTGATTCTTTAATGGCAATAGATTTCTTTAAAAAGAATTGTCCAGAAGGTTCAAGTTTAAGAGATTTTATTATATATGCAGGAAAAGCTTTGACATATGAGCATTATAAAAAGGGTTCAATTATATTTCATTATGGTGACTATGGAGATAAGTTTTTTATGATCCTAAAAGGTAATGTTGGAGTATTGGTACCTAAAGGAAATCATGATATTGAAATTGATAGAGATTTCATTTTAGAGACAAATAGAAATGAAACATGGAGTAATGTTTGGAAAGGTAGGAAATTACATAGTACAATTGATATGGAATTGTTATTAGCTTAAGATGAAGATCCATGGTTAATCTCAAATAGATATTTTGAAGGAGGTGTATGTTTATACTAAAAGGTATTATTAATATATATGAATATTAAGATTTATACATATTATAGTGGATAAACATTTGGAGATGTATCATTATATACAGATAAACCAAGAACAGCAAGTATATTAGTATTGTCAGAAGATGTTCATGTAATTACTATGAATAAGAATGAATACAAATAAATTTGTGAAAAGTCTCTATAGGATATGAATAGCAATGTTGATTATTTTATGAGGATGTTGCCAAATAATAGCAAGTTTGTAATAACAAAATTTATGTAATATATGCATAAAATTGAATTTTCTCCATAAAGTATATTATGGAAGGAAGGAGAGGAATCTAAATTTTTTATGTTAATATTTAAAGGGAGAGTGGAATTAATTAAGAAGATTGGAAAAGTGAGGATTACATTGTGTTAATTAAGTGACAATAGTTGGGTTGGATAAGAAGAAATATGTAAAAATAAATATCAAAAATTTCTTTAGTTGATTAATCCATTAGATAATCCACTTGCTAATGTGCTGATAATACTATTGCCTATTATATTCATATTGAAGAATTTAATTAGATTAGAAGAAACTTTCCAGAGATATGTAAGATTTTGAAAGAGAAATCTTAAATTTTGAAGGAGTATATGAAAACAAGATATGAGATGATTATGAATAACTTTATTAATAAATAGGAGATTATTTAAAAAGAACAACAGAAGGTGGAGAGAAAGGCCATTTCTGAAATTTTTTATACTTCCATAAAGACCAAAACCTAGGATATTAGATCACATTCTCCTAAGGCATTAAGTATTATCGAAATCACTGAATATAACAACAAAATAAATTAATCTAGAGTAGGTTTTTTATTTCCAATTAGGGTGGATTTAGAAATCTAAATATCTTTCCATTAGACAAAGATTCAGTATTATCAATAAGGGATAGAGTTTGTAGATAATTAACCAAATAAAACAAAAAGAAGGAGAGAGTTAAACCTTAAACAATGAGAGAAGGAACTCTTTTATCATCAACTATTTCAGATCTATTCAAATAAAATGATTAGATTTAATAGCATTAAAGCTTTAAATAGAATGATTTAAAGAAAAGTTCATTCTCTTTTGTTAATTTATTTGTTTAAGGATCTACTAATAATCCTACAAATTGTAGTGATCATTTTACATCAAGACTAACAACATAATAATCTTATTTTAGAATGAAAACAGAATAGGGAAGATCCTAAATTTAAACATAAACTAGTTTTGATTAAAAGTAAAATAGTTCAGTTAATATAAGAAATAACAGCGTAGAAATAAATAAATTACGTTCCAATAGTCCTCTCAATTCCATTCAATTCTCAAATAGACATTAAAATAAAAGAATTCATAGTTGTAAGATGATAGCAAGACCAAAAAAGTACCCTTAATTATTGAAATATAAATTATTATGAATTTTGCTGAAAGAAGAAATAAAACTAATCCTGATTAACATCAATTATTAAGTATGAGCAGTTAAAGTTCTTCTAGAAATTCTGCAGTCAAAGCAACATTAAAAGTTTATTCTGAAATGAGAGAAGATGAAAGTTGTAAATTAGCAATGAGATTTACACAATTAAAAATAGTTCTAGCAACTCATAAATTAGTGGGATTCTGTTATAAAATTAAATCAGTAAGATTACAGCATTATTTTGATGTTTTATTATTAACAAAGACATCAAATATACAATCTGTACCAATTTTATAAAAGCCTTAATAAGTGTAAATTTAATATTTGACACCTCCCACAAAAAAGAAAAGTGTAAAATTTTAACCAAAATATTCAATTGCACCCTTCTTGTTATTATAATCAATAATTAAATAACATCTTCATAAAAACTTCAATATATTACAATATAATCAAAATAACAAAAATAAGCAAATCTCCTTTAATAACATTATATTGCAATTATTTAGAAAGAAATAAACTTAGAACTTCGGAATTCTAAAAACAAGACTTTTATAATCAAAGACGTTTAGACGAATTAGTTTAATAATTAATCAAAAAATAAAATCAATATAATTAGAAGTTTTATTAACGATTTCCTAAAATATAAATAATATTAATCATCATTCTTAATAAGTAAGTTTATTAGATTCGGAATTCTCATAATAATAATAAATAATATAAGAAAATGATAATGATATACATGAACATGAAATAAATAATTAAATGATGAGTGCAAAAGAATAATTAGCCATGAAATTTGCTAGTACGTCATTATTAATAGGAATTTTAAGTTAAGTGATGATAAAAGCATAATTTGCATTTTTATTACATTTAAGATAAGGAAACAATTAAAAATAAGATATAAGAGAAATTAAATCAATTGATATAAGTGAAAATTTAGATTAATCTTAAATTGAAGAAGAAAAAATAAAACCAAAAATAATTGCTGCAAATCAAATTAATCATTTCTTAATTTAAAAGCTTAAATAATATTTTGATTAGATTAATGAATGTCCATCTAGAAGTGCTAGTCCATTTAGAAGTTCTAGTCCAACTAGAAGTGCTAGACCATCTATTAAATTCTTTCAAGGAGAAAAGAAATCTAGATCTTAAAATTTAAATTTAAAATTGTTATTAGTTGGTTAGAAGATGTTTAAGGAAGATGATCCTTAATAAAAGAGTACAGATATTACTGCTAATGAAAAAAAAAGTTCATTTAATGTATTACCTGGAGTTCGTTATGTAACATAATATTCTGATATTTCAAAAAATGCCATATCTGATGTAATAATTAAAAAACATTATTTAGAGTGAAGCAACTGAATAATCAATTATTACTGATTCTATTAACACATAATAAAGTATAAGGACTTCCATTCTAATGAAAAAATAAACTAATTAACAAAATAAACAAAATGATAAAAAAGAAACACTTAATTCTGCAATATAATAATATTGTATATATCTATGTATAATTTATTATAGTGATTCCAATTAAAAGTTAAAAAAATTCCCCTGAAAGAGTTTCTAAAAAAACAATTGAAAAACAAAATAAGAGTCAATTCTCTAAAATTACATTTTTGTACTGTTTCCCTATTATTATTATCATCTTAATAATAATTTTAATGAAATGAAATATTTTTATATTAAATAATTATGTAAGCTCAATCAACATAGTCTTCTATTACTATCAATGCAGGACCCAGAGATCCTTAATGGATAGATAGACTCAAAGAAGAATATGCTGCTTTGATCAATTACATAAAAAATAATAAAAGTGAAGATAATGATTGGGTTAAATTGGAACCAGCAAATAAAGAATGCACTAAGTAATTAAAATTAATAATTATTTAATAGTTGGAAAGGTAAATGTTGGGTTATCCATAATTTGATTAGATATGAATTTGATTTTTAATTTGAAGTAAAACAAAATACTATTATTTAGATACCACCTACATATCCATTAGCACCAATTGAAATCGAAATACCATCATTAGATGGTTTGACACCTAAAATGTATAGAGGAGGCAAGATCTGTATTGATATTCATTTTGCTCCTTTATGGTAAAAAAACGCACCTAAATTTGGAATAGTCCATGCTCTATAATTAGCTGTAATATATAGTTAATTATTAAATAGTTGGCACCTTGGTTAGCAGCTGAAGTTCCAGTATTGATTGAAGAAGGCAAAATTAAAAAGGATTGATTATGTATAATAAAATTAATAATGTCTAAAATATTAAGATAAGATTACGAAGAGGTGCTTAAAAGGAATCCTAATGACATTAAATCTATGATAGCATTAGGTTGTTATTCTTTTGATTTAGGTTAATAACTCTTACAATAATAAAAAATGAATTAAGCACTTTATTGGTTTGATGCAGCTATAAGTTTGGATCCTAATATGGCTGATTCTCTATGTGGAAAAGGTAATTAAATAATTATTATATATATAAGGTGATGCTTTGTAATTATTCGATAAACATTAGAAAGCAATCTAATGGTATGATCGAGCATTGAGTATAGCACCAAATCATGTTCCAAGTTTAGTTGGAAAAGGTAACTTATTATTTTGATCAAATTTATAGCTAAAGCACTTTATCAATTAGAAATAGATTTTAATAAATTTGCAAAACGTATTGCAATCTTTAATTTTATATCTAGCAAAACTCTTAAATAAATAAAAGACAGAATCTACTCTCAATCAAAGAGGTATTACACACAAATTATTTTTCATAATATAGATTCATTAGAAAAGTAAAAGCTTGAATAACGTTTCAAAGATAAAGGTATTAAATTATATATCTCTTATTAGAAGATCAAAATAAAGAAAAAATTGAAATTCGTCTTAAAGAAAAAGGTACTCTTTAAATATTATAAAATAGAAAAGATTAATTTAAACAAGCAATAAGAAGCTCAATTAAATGATAAAGGTAATCATAATTAATATTCTTAAGCTAAAGCATTACATTAATATAAAATTGAAACATTACTTCAAGGAAAGAGTATTCTTCTTTTTAAGATTTTAGCTAAACCTAAACATTAAATTGAGTTAGAGTAAGAAATTGAATTAGAACTAGAATCTTAAAGGTACTTTGATTAGGCATTGTCAAGCAAACCTAATCAAATATAGGCACTTACTGGAAAAGGTAATGATCTTTTATTTAAAATTAGGACTTTGCATTAATACTTTTTCTAAATAATTTGATGCTGAAATTATTATAAATAAAGCCCTATCTTTACCATCTATTTAAGGTCATAATGATAAACAATCTGATATTTATGCAGCAAAAGGCACTTTCTTGATTAATTTTAGGGGATATTTTATTAAATCAATAAAAATATGCAGAAGCCAATAATTTTTATGAAAAAGCATTAGATTTAGATCCAAATCATATTTAAAGTATGTTTGGAAAGGGTATTTATATCAAAGTGAAATTAGGCTAATATTTTAGATTAATAGAAAATTATGATGATGCTATTGAATAGTATGATAAAGTGATAAAAATAAAACCAAATCATATAAATTCAATTTGGGGAAAAGGTTAATCATTTTATCTATTACAGGGGAATCATTGAGAATGTAAGACAAATTCAGAAAGGCTATAGTTTATTTTGACAGAGCTCTAAAATACCATTCAAAACATTTCTTATCTCTATATGGCAAAGGTAATAATCTAAGTCAATATTTTTAAGGAGAAGCACTTAGAATGCTTAAATATAATTATGATGCTTCTGTTGAATACAAGTAGGCTCTCGAATTGTAACCTAACCATATAAAAGCTTTATTTGGATATGGAGAAGTGTTAAAATTAATGAAAAAATATTAATAATCATTGGTATGTTATAAGAAAATTTTGGATATTGATAAAGGTAACATGGAAGCTGTATAGTTGAAATGTAAAATATTTATTAAAATTGACTTTAGATGAGGTAGAACATTGCATTTCTTAATTATAATAAAAGGAATAAATTAATATATTAAGAAAGTAAGATCTTTAAAGCAATAGTAAATTTTTTGATGGTCTTTAAACCAATACTTTAAATTTTAGAAAAAATCTTTGAATATACAATTAATTGATTATAATACTATTATAATAAAGATTAAAGCTCTTTTTATTTAATGAATAGTAATTTATCAATCATGATCATGTTATTTTTTTTTCTCTTCCTTTTTTCTTCTGAACTCCTTAAATTTTGTTCTTAATTTTGCATCATGTCTTTGTAGGTTTTCTAAATTCTCTTTTTCTATTTATGCCTTATCTATATCCAAAGATGCTAAATTAGTATAATCTCCTCTTAATTATGCATCAGATGGCAGAAATGGTGGTTTTATAGTTACTTAATATGGTTACTAAATATGATTTTATATTTTTGTTACCATATGTCTATGATCCCAATATCGCACTCCATCAAATTCTATGTATCCCATGTAAGTACCAAATATTTTACATAATTCTTATTATCCCATATTTATTGTTCCTTCAAAATAATCAGTAGGTTTTCTTTTAACTTTTCCAAATTTTAAAGTTGCAGTTAATCCTTTATTTGTCTAATAGGTAGAAACCCCAAGGGTCTTGATAAATTATTAATATTTTATACTTCAACTTTCATTGAACCCATGATAGTTCCACTATATAGTTCATAAGCAAAATTATAATCAATTCTTTGACCTCCATTAAATACTATAGTTCTTTTACCCTTATTTTTTAGGGTAATAGAGTTAAGTCCTGCAGATGCTTCGTACCAATAATTTCTAATCATATACAAAGGTAATACCCAAAGTATTTATATGAATTATCTCTACCAATACCATAAAATTAGCTAATTGGTGGATGATGACTAATTTATTCTGCGAATAACTTTGTTCCATCTGATAAGAAACCTTCAACTGTTTCTCCTAAGATAGGATTTAAAGGTTTATGAAAACTCAAATTTATATGGAATGTAGCTATTGTAGCAGTTATGACTAATTTCAATTACTCCATAAAATCTACTGTTTAGACAGCTCTGTTAATATACAAAGGAAAAAATATAGTAGATTATAAATTTTTCTCTAAAGCTGATTTCGCAATCATAGCCTTAATAGGAAAACTAATTTTAGTGAGATTCATGTCTCCAGATAAAATTTTACGTCCAATTTGCTAAATCACATAGGTCCCTACCGATCTCATACACTTAATTTGCTTCTTATCTTCGAATTTCTTTCCACCATCTTTAGATGCTTGATCACATCTAGTATCATCTTTAGATAGTATTGGTTGAAATGTTGCTACCTTTTATTATATTATATCATATGGATCATTATTGAAAAGGCTAATAAGAATAATGACATTTTCATACTCTTCCCTAATGTAAAATTACACAGCATCAGGTGCAGTTTATTAGACTTGTTATATTCTTATATCGTTATCTAAATCTTCTGAACTTAAGGTGCTATTCATTTTATTTATTTAATTAAAATCAAATCATTTTCAATGATAAAATTCATAAAATTACTTACTCAATTTTAATATACATCTACCTTTTCATATTTTTAAGTACATTATAAGTCCTAATATTTATCATTTAAAAAAAGATGTAAAAATAATTTTACATTTTACAATATAGTTTAGATATATTTACACTAATAAAAATATTACTTTTCTATCAATTTAGCCTGATAAATATGATGTGTATAGATATTATAGGAAGTTATTCAATTAAATTAGTATTTGATTAATTTGTTTATATTAATAATTATTTGATGTTGATCAGTAGTGCAAAACAGTCTTTTAGATCTAGTAATAATGAAAGTACAAGTTTAAATACTAGATTGTGTAAAAACCTGTAATCTATAACACTAAGTGCAAAATTCTAAACAGAATTATAGTAATTGGAATATTAAAATGAACCATTTTTATTTAATTAATAAAGATCAACACTCAAGTATTGAATACTTAAATTTAGTTCTATGGATTTAAGTAGATAAATCAGTTCAAAATAATCATCTAGATCTAGTATGCCAAATATTAATAATAATGGAAATCATAATTTATCTTCTAAAAGAAAAAGTGAACGATTAATCTTAAGAACAACACCTTGTCTTATATATATGCCTGGACTTAAATAAGAAGATTTCAAAGAAGAAACTTCATAATAACATACTTAAAATAAATAATTTAGAGCTCCTCTTTTGAAAAGTCCTATTAAACACATAGGTTTTCAATTTAGAAATAGAGATAAAAGCAATCCACTCTAAAGAATAAATTGACTTTTTCAATAATCATAAATAAATTTGGATTGATGTATTTTCTTCTTTAAAATTCTTCAATTTAATTTAGAATTTTGATTTTTAATATAAATATAATATGTTATTCTTCACTTAGTAAGTGATTAATTGTATTTTTCAATATTTTTAATATCTCTTTAGTATCTTGTTCGCTCTTATAGTCGAAGTTATTAAAGCGTCTTTGTTTCAGTCATATAAAGTTCTAATTTTTACTATTAATGTTTTTGTTGAGCTTTTGATGTGCTTAGTTCTTTTTTGAGATTGAGATTTTCTTGTATTAGTTTTTCCTATTGAGAGAGAAGGGATTCTATTTATTAAGATGTCTTTAAATTCAATTCATTTATCAGCTTATCTTTTGCAGCCAACTCTTTTTTTAATTGCTCAATTGTTTCGATATTAGTTTGAATGTTGGAAAATGTTTATTAAAATTTAACAGTTTAAGGTTCGAGTGTAACTATAGAATCTGCACTTCTTTTAGTTTAATTTGGGGATTAGAACATTTGATGAAGTTCATCTTATGTAATATATAGAGGGTTCATAAAAGGAAAATAAATATATTTTATTTCTAATGCAATAAGATAATTAACTTCAAGAAGCATAAATTATAGAAGATATAATAATTGCAGACTTCTAAAAAGTTATAATATCATTAACAGATGCCTAAGTTGCCATAAATTATTTTGAAGATGATCCTGAAAATCCTAAAATATTGGTATTCCTTAATTTAGTAATCTAATCTCTAAATCAATCCAAATTGAATTATTAATCAATCATTACTAAATATCCAAACTTAATGACAAAAATTAAATTGATTAAGCAACATGTCAAAGAATTATGTTCAGAAATTAAGATCTAAATAAAATTCAATACAATAATTGATGAATATCTCTCTTTCTTTACAAATAAAATATTAGATCAATAGATTGCCTTAGAAGATAAGAAATAATTTAATGTATCTTAAAAAGAGTCTTCTAATGTTTCAGATCTTTTAAGTAGTCTTCCTTAAGAAAAATGGAATCATGATATCTTTATATCAAAAGAATAAATAATAGCAAGTCTATTGTAAAATTTATAATAATTTTAGGAAGAGAAAAGGAAAGCTATTTTTGGAAATGTAAATGCTTTGGATTAATACAGTCACAACAAAACCTAAAGTTGAAGATTATGGAAAACCTTTGTACTTGAGAGCAAGTTACAAATCTGATTTGATCTTCTTTGGTGTTGCAGTATGTTTATGCATAGTTGTTGCCTATTTCATGAGTTAATGATAATTATAAAAAATTCAATAATATATTTGATGGATAATGAGATCAATAATTAAGATTAATAATAACAATAATTTCTAGTTGATGAAAGTATTAAACCATAGAATGTATTTACTAATAATCTTATCACATCTAATAGAAGAAGTTACACAAATTTTTCTTAATCTCAACTTATTTAATCAAATCTCTCTTAATTATTAGAATAAGTCTTAATGCATATTTTATCTGAATAACTAATAGAAATGGGTTCATTTATAGTTGTAGATAAATGTGATTTAGAATTATTTTGCTAAAAACTGTCTGTTTAACCACTTAAAGATTTTATATTAAATTAGGATAGCTCTAAATTACATCATTAATAGTTATATCATTATTAAAATTATGAAAAAGATTTAGATTTAATTAAAGCATAGATTGACTAAAGAAAATTAAGAATGTTGATATTTTAATGTAATAAACTTGTTTTAACATACAAATCTATTCAATTATTGATTAATAAATTTAAAGTACAGATGTATGCTAATTCTATTGATGGTGAATTAAGTAGATTACAGTGTTACCATCTACTTGAAAAAATTCAATAAGAACTTTCTTAAATATAGAAATATCACGATGTTGTTAAATAAAGATTAGCAGAGAAAAATGAAATTGCTTAATTTTTAAATTATCCAATAAAAGATGTATATAAATAAGAAATTAAAAGATAATTTTGTTTATTATTCATTCAAATAGATTAATAATTATACCCTTAAAAATAGAAAACGGAAATTTAACCAACTTTAACAATTAATAAAAAACTTCCTAGTCATCGATAATCTACTATTACTTTATTAAAACCTGGCAAACATGCTTAATCTATTTCTAATGATAATAGAATAAGTGAAGCAACTTCAATTAAAAGTAAAATTACATAACATTTTTATTCAATTGATAAAAGAATTAATGATACAATGTCTTAAAAATAATTGTCTTTCTTTTAAAAATATAAAACCAAATTTTCCACTACATTATATGACTCATTTACAATGAAATTATTAGAAAATATATATTTATCCATTTAAACTAATTTTCTTATTAATAATATAGAAGAAGTATTTGAAAAATATAATGATAATATTAATCTTTAACAATTATAATCAATTATGAAATTACTGAAAACATAAATATGTATTAATATATTTGAACAAATTATAAACTCTAAATCTATTTAACTTAATGAAGAACTATGTGCTAAAGATCTTAAAACAAAATGCAAATAAGATCTAAAAATAATATCAGATATTTTTACATAAGAATAACTTATAAAATTACATTAAAATATTCATCATTTAAATTAATTGACAACTTCATATTTAAATTAATTAGACATAATAATCCATTAAATATTAGATGACAATAAAAATACAATTAATTTTGATGTACTTTAAATCTAGGTAGCTGTTTATCAATTATCAGAAGAAATCCTATCTAAATTGTATGGTTAAACCTTATTGATGCTTAAATATATCCAAAATAATAGTATCATTTTATTGTAATCTTTATCAAATTTCCTATCCAAAACTAATTTTTCAGAATAACATATACTCCTTTATCCATTTCATTAGTTGGCATCGGCTATCAATAAAACCATAAATTAAGTGTTACATCAAGCCTAAAATGAAATTGTAAGTAATCTACTTTTTGAAACTTATATTTGCATTATTTCAAAGCATATGATTGATAGAAGATAATTATATATTGAATAGTTAAATCCATAAAGTAAATAAATTATGTTACAAATTTCTTAAATCATTTAAGGAAAATAGCTAAAATAGTAGATTCACTCTTATTCACAATAAAAAGTTATTTTATATGATCTTAATGAAATTTAATAATCTATTGAATGGCTATTTGATTAACATATCCTTAAGAAACAAATCAATAGAAATTTAGATTCAATTGAAGAATTTTCATTTTTTATCCCATAAATAATTTCATAAATAAAGGCACTTTTTGAGGAGGAATTTTTTAATGAAAATATTAAATATAATCGTATTGCATCCTAATTATAGCTATTTGAAAATTATGTTAAATAAGAAATACTTAAGAAATCATCAGAATAGCAATTAAAAATTCAATGGTCAAACAAAATATTTAGACTCTTCCATAAAATCAATAATGAATATTTACCTACATCAAGAGCAACAACAAGAAGAAAATAAACAACAGAACCAAAAACATTGGAATATCAAACTGTTATGTAGAGCCCTATTCCATCTTCATAATAATAAAAACTAACAATTTTTAAGCAAAGTATANACAATGTCTTAAAAATAATTGTCTTTCTTTTAAAAATATAAAACCAAATTTTCCACTACATTATATGACTCATTTACAATGAAATTATTAGAAAATATATATTTATCCATTTAAACTAATTTTCTTATTAATAATATAGAAGAAGTATTTGAAAAATATAATGATAATATTAATCTTTAACAATTATAATCAATTATGAAATTACTGAAAACATAAATATGTATTAATATATTTGAACAAATTATAAACTCTAAATCTATTTAACTTAATGAAGAACTATGTGCTAAAGATCTTAAAACAAAATGCAAATAAGATCTAAAAATAATATCAGATATTTTTACATAAGAATAACTTATAAAATTACATTAAAATATTCATCATTTAAATTAATTGACAACTTCATATTTAAATTAATTAGACATAATAATCCATTAAATATTAGATGACAATAAAAATACAATTAATTTTGATGTACTTTAAATCTAGGTAGCTGTTTATCAATTATCAGAAGAAATCCTATCTAAATTGTATGGTTAAACCTTATTGATGCTTAAATATATCCAAAATAATAGTATCATTTTATTGTAATCTTTATCAAATTTCCTATCCAAAACTAATTTTTCAGAATAACATATACTCCTTTATCCATTTCATTAGTTGGCATCGGCTATCAATAAAACCATAAATTAAGTGTTACATCAAGCCTAAAATGAAATTGTAAGTAATCTACTTTTTGAAACTTATATTTGCATTATTTCAAAGCATATGATTGATAGAAGATAATTATATATTGAATAGTTAAATCCATAAAGTAAATAAATTATGTTACAAATTTCTTAAATCATTTAAGGAAAATAGCTAAAATAGTAGATTCACTCTTATTCACAATAAAAAGTTATTTTATATGATCTTAATGAAATTTAATAATCTATTGAATGGCTATTTGATTAACATATCCTTAAGAAACAAATCAATAGAAATTTAGATTCAATTGAAGAATTTTCATTTTTTATCCCATAAATAATTTCATAAATAAAGGCACTTTTTGAGGAGGAATTTTTTAATGAAAATATTAAATATAATCGTATTGCATCCTAATTATAGCTATTTGAAAATTATGTTAAATAAGAAATACTTAAGAAATCATCAGAATAGCAATTAAAAATTCAATGGTCAAACAAAATATTTAGACTCTTCCATAAAATCAATAATGAATATTTACCTACATCAAGAGCAACAACAAGAAGAAAATAAACAACAGAACCAAAAACATTGGAATATCAAACTGTTATGTAGAGCCCTATTCCATCTTCATAATAATAAAAACTAACAATTTTTAAGCAAAGTATATACGTAAAAGGTAATAGAACGCATATTTAATAAACTGAAAGATTAACTTAATCCACTGTAAAGTTTAAAGATTATAAAGAATTAGAAAAAAAATTAAATTGAAAATTTAAATATTATACTTTTAATTCATGATACCTTTACACACTATAATTAATATTAAATGCATTCTTTTTGGATATTAAAAATTCCAGAACAAAATTTCGATATCTCTTTTTTATATAATTTGTATTTAAAAAAAAAATTAATTATTTGAAAGAATAATTTTTTTACTTTTTGTTAGTTTTTAATAAATTTTATAAGTTAATTTAAAAACCATCAATTAATACTATATATTAATTTTATTGTATATTATTTTATTCCTCATTAATTGATTTTCTCTATTTAAGGTAGAAAAGAATGTTATGATATATATTATTATGTAAGTCATATAGAATTTATAGTATAATTGAGTATTTAATAATAAGAGATTTAAATAGAAATTTAATATATTTAAAGATCATTTATAAAAAATTATCAATATGTTCAAAATTTAGAAAAATAAAAATTAATTAGAAATTTAATTGTTATTTTATTGAAATAAGTATATGAATATATGATTTAAAATATAAGTATTTGAAAGCGAACTGATTTAAATAATAAATCATTGATTATATATCACATCTCTGCTAACCTTTTTTTGATTTCTTGTATCAGATTGTCTTGAGTAGTTTATTTTAATTTAAACCATTAGTTTAAATGATTTGCACTCAATCTTTCTTCAGGTTGGATACTGAACATTTAAACAAATAAATTTTTGCATTCTTGATCTATATTTGATCTTATATCTTTCCAATAGGTGTCCCATTAATTATTCTTTATTAAATTCCACCATGGATCATTATTGTCTGGATTATTTGATTCAAATGGAGGATGACCAGTTATTAATATGAAAAATATAACAGCAACCGAAAACATATCACTCTTTATATAATTTGGATTTGATGTCCATATTTCAGGAGCTGTGTATCCTTCACTACCAGCTATAGTTTATTTTTCGATTGCCATTTTGCCATTCCATCTAGCAAAACCGAAATCACATAATTTGATATTATATTAACTATCTATAAGAACATTCGATAATTTGAGATCTCCATGAGTAAATCCTTATTCATGCATATAAGTTAAAGCCAGAGTTACCTAGTACATAAGAGAGGCAGCAATGCTAACTGGAAGTGGAGATGATTTGATCAATTAAACTAAGGTGCCATGGGGACAATATTGAAGGACTAGACATGTGTAATCCTGGCTGTAGCCGTATAGCTCAATTATATGGTGATGCTTGATGTGGATGAGGATTTGTATTTCATTCTTAGTAACTTCAAGTTATTGGAAGTAATACGAATAAGTTAATGGCGGTGTCTTATATTTTTTGGGCTTGGCACTTCAAGGCATATTGTTTGTTTTCATTTTCTTTGGTCTCAAGTGCGAGAAGAACTTTAGCATCATGTCCTTCACCCAAGGTAGTTTAGATTTTTAAGGCTTAGAAAAACTGGGGAGGTAATGCCTGAACTTGTTGCATTCGAATAATCTTAAATTAAATTATGTAAAATCATGAACTCTATTTAATATTGGACATAAACTCCAAGTTCTTGAAACCTTTAAATGATAATTTTATAGCAATTTTGAAGTGTATAAAGACTACTTGAGGATTATAATTGTATACAGATTTCCATAATTATTTTACAATCTATGCCATTGATACATATGATATTTATTAATTGTATAGAAATGGTGAAAATTGTGGTTTTGAATATAATGAGGAATTTAGATAAATTTTAAATAGATTGAATGATTTAATTTCAAAGAAAGGAGTAGATGATGTTTGGGAATTCAAAATAATAAAATGTTTAAGTTAAATAATGTGTCAAATCAATAAGGATAAATAAAATTTTAAGGAGTCTAAAATTACATTCATGACTTCTCAATTTTTTCAATTAGGATAAGAATCTTATAATTATTATTTGAAATTGTGTTCTTATGAAAGTAAAGAAAAATTCGCTTAGATTTATTACAAATTGATATATAAGCTAATAGTGATTATAAGTAAGAGGCTTTAGGGATTGAATGGTTTGAAATTAGGTGTTCAATTGACAGTAGGGATTGTCCATAGAGTAGAATAGGATAAACACTTTAATAAAATTTTAGCTTAAATTTTGGTAAATACTTTAATTGATATAATTATCATCATTCAATCCAGGAGATTGTAATGGATTCTATTAAGCAAAATTAAATGAATTGTAGTACAAATCTTTTTGTTCTTGTTGCAATAAAATAACTAATCAAATTGCTTATACATATTCAAGCTTTTTGACAAGTAATTTACATTTATAATTTAGTTAAATGTGGGATATCTGAAACTATTAAATTGGGTATAAAATGTAATAATTATTTTCATAATATTTAATGACTGAATAAATCATATATAATCTAAGATGTTATCATAATTAACAATTAAATATTAATCTCTTTTTAAGTTAATGTTTTCATTTTTCATATTATCAATTAAATTTTCTATTATTTAATAATATAATAAAAATACTATTATCTTTATTTTCAGCTACAAAATATGGTTTATCCTTTCTTATAATAAGAGGTTTTATAAATTTTACTTTCAATTTTTGATCTTTTAAGAAGGGTTCAAGAACTTTCTCTCTCTCCATTTCTTTAAACTAATCATTTAATTTGATAAAAGAGTTTTTAACTTAGATCTTAACTTTTTCTGGTTAAATGTTGTAATATTATTGCCAAATTTAAGGTAACTTATCTATTTCTCCATATTCGTTTTTTTAAACTTCAATTTTCTTGCTAGATAGTTTTAGTTTTGATTAAGTTCTAAAATTTTATTAGAGAAATCTTATTTAGTTTAGATTACTTTGAGTTTAAGATGTTTGTTTTAATTTTATACTGTGATCACTAAGTAGTGAGTCATCATTTTGAGTTAAATTAATTTTTGATATGCTGGNAAACTCCAAGTTCTTGAAACCTTTAAATGATAATTTTATAGCAATTTTGAAGTGTATAAAGACTACTTGAGGATTATAATTGTATACAGATTTCCATAATTATTTTACAATCTATGCCATTGATACATATGATATTTATTAATTGTATAGAAATGGTGAAAATTGTGGTTTTGAATATAATGAGGAATTTAGATAAATTTTAAATAGATTGAATGATTTAATTTCAAAGAAAGGAGTAGATGATGTTTGGGAATTCAAAATAATAAAATGTTTAAGTTAAATAATGTGTCAAATCAATAAGGATAAATAAAATTTTAAGGAGTCTAAAATTACATTCATGACTTCTCAATTTTTTCAATTAGGATAAGAATCTTATAATTATTATTTGAAATTGTGTTCTTATGAAAGTAAAGAAAAATTCGCTTAGATTTATTACAAATTGATATATAAGCTAATAGTGATTATAAGTAAGAGGCTTTAGGGATTGAATGGTTTGAAATTAGGTGTTCAATTGACAGTAGGGATTGTCCATAGAGTAGAATAGGATAAACACTTTAATAAAATTTTAGCTTAAATTTTGGTAAATACTTTAATTGATATAATTATCATCATTCAATCCAGGAGATTGTAATGGATTCTATTAAGCAAAATTAAATGAATTGTAGTACAAATCTTTTTGTTCTTGTTGCAATAAAATAACTAATCAAATTGCTTATACATATTCAAGCTTTTTGACAAGTAATTTACATTTATAATTTAGTTAAATGTGGGATATCTGAAACTATTAAATTGGGTATAAAATGTAATAATTATTTTCATAATATTTAATGACTGAATAAATCATATATAATCTAAGATGTTATCATAATTAACAATTAAATATTAATCTCTTTTTAAGTTAATGTTTTCATTTTTCATATTATCAATTAAATTTTCTATTATTTAATAATATAATAAAAATACTATTATCTTTATTTTCAGCTACAAAATATGGTTTATCCTTTCTTATAATAAGAGGTTTTATAAATTTTACTTTCAATTTTTGATCTTTTAAGAAGGGTTCAAGAACTTTCTCTCTCTCCATTTCTTTAAACTAATCATTTAATTTGATAAAAGAGTTTTTAACTTAGATCTTAACTTTTTCTGGTTAAATGTTGTAATATTATTGCCAAATTTAAGGTAACTTATCTATTTCTCCATATTCGTTTTTTTAAACTTCAATTTTCTTGCTAGATAGTTTTAGTTTTGATTAAGTTCTAAAATTTTATTAGAGAAATCTTATTTAGTTTAGATTACTTTGAGTTTAAGATGTTTGTTTTAATTTTATACTGTGATCACTAAGTAGTGAGTCATCATTTTGAGTTAAATTAATTTTTGATATGCTGGTTAATTTGTTTACATCTTTTTTTTCTCTTAATGATTTCTCAGATATTCGTTTTCTAAAAACATTTTGCGTACATCTACTGTTATTTTTTGATGGATTCTCTTCTAGTTCTTATTTTTTTAATTAATATGTCTAATTAATCAATTCAATAGTATATTTATCATCATCACCAATGTTTTGTTGAAAAAAATTCTTTTATTGACTAATCTAAGAAACTTACTCTACTTTCTTAAAAAGTTCATTTAAATTCTTTTTCTTTAAACGAAGTTATTTAAAGTCTTAATGGATGAACTTTTATACTTTTTTGTTTGTTAGATTTTGGTTAACAACTACAAAACTTTTAGAATTATTCTAATTAAAAATATTAATCATAATATATCATCATATAAACAATTAGATATTTATATACACCTTTTAAATTGTTTTAGACATTAAAGATATATTAGAATATATAATAAAACTATACTAAAATCATTTTATAGTATTTATAAACCTTTTACATAAACATCATCTAATATTGACATAATTAGAATTGAATAAAGCAATTCTTATTAAAAACTAAACTAATAGAGTATCTTCTATAGGGTCATTCAAAAAGACTCATTTTTATAAAACTTAAAGTTTCAATAATCGGAATTATCAATCATTTTTAAAAACTTATATTGAGAATAGAAACAAATCATGTAATGTATTGAATTGTAAATTTTAAGGAATTTAATAGGAAATTCATTGAAGAAATTAATAATTTTATACTTTAACATTCAAAATTTGATAGTAAGCAAAAGATTGTATTTTAACATCATTAAAGGGAAATCATTTGTTATAGAATGAAATTCATAAGATTAAATGAAATAGTTTTAATGTAATCATTTAGAAATATCAGAATACAATAGTAACTTAATAATCTAAGATATTTAATTGCAATTAAGAATGGGATGAATAAAATTAAAAATTATCAATAAAAACTCAGCAATTTTAAAGATATAATGAATCAAATTAAATACAATAACAATCTGATTCTTATGAATTTAAGATATAATCTTATTTATTTTTTATATCAAATAATAAAAATAGTATTAAATATTTAAGTATTATGGTTACATGAAATAATCATTGAATTCCTTATTTATATAATATTTAAAACATAAACTATTCAATGATTATGTAAAGTTAACAAAATGTATTGTAACAAGAACAGTTAAATATTATAAAATTAAATTAATAAGTTATCTGCTATTTTGAATTCAAATCAACCATAATGTTAAATATATTATGATAGCTTAATATAGTTTCAATCTTCAACTCACTAATAATAATTAAATTTAGTACATCTATCTAGAAAATAATATTAAAATTATTTGAAAATGTTGATTAAGGAAATATACTATTATTAATTAAAAGTAGTCCGATAATGAAATATGTTTAAATAATATCTTATAATTAATTTTTATACATGATTTGCTACAAAAGCAAATTCTTTTCTATTGAAAAGTACAACATTTTTATGTTAAAAGAAGGGATTCAATTTTCCAATGTATTTTTAAATGTATAATTTAGGATTAACACTCTCTAATAATATAGTTTTATTCATTTGAACCAAAAATCAAATGGATTAAAAATAATAATTCTGACATAATCTCATTTGAATTGTTATTGGATAAAAACAAGTCGATCTATAAATTTACTCCACATATTGGAAACCTATTAAAAGAGTTTATGAATGGAAAAGTCTGTTTTTAAGGAATAAACAATCATTATAAAATTTCTTAATATGTCTAGAAAAGAAATTATGGTTCTGTATTTATTTTAATACTACTATTTTAGATAGTTCGAATGAGAAGTATTTAGAATGAAGAATTAGTCACTTGCAAGATTATTAAATAAGGAAAAGAAGAATTTGAATAAGTATAATAAATGAATAATATAGGCATTTCGAAATGAAGTAATTGCCCTATAATTATTAAATCATAAAAATATTCCCAAATTAAAAGAATATTATATTGAATCATAACATAATTATATAATATATGAGTTAGTAGAAGGAGCTTCGTTGGATAATTATATCAAAAAAAATATACTTAATAAAGATTAAATTTATAAAATAATGAAAGTATAAATTTTGAATTATACGATAGGAATTATTATCTATAGTTGAATATTTACATTAAGAGGGATTGAGTCATTAAAATATTAAATTAGAGAACATCTTTTATTGTTCTATGTTGGAACATATAACTTTAATAGATTATGGATAATCAAAATTAACTAATATTATGAATTTAAAACACTCTAAATCAATAAATACTTTAATTAATGAAGATTATATAAAAATGAATACATTTACTGAGAGAGAGTTTTTGATAGAATAAGATTATAAAGATTGTGGGATTGTTTTTTTTTAATTGTAAATTATTTTCATTAAATTTAAGAATCACTCGAAAAATATTAAATAGTTAAGAATAATTAAAATAGAATGAAAATAGAATAATTCGATAAATTGTTGATGAGATTCATAATTAAAAGGCTTCTAAATTTATTATGAAACTAATTAAATACAATAATTTATAAACTTTAGAAAACTTTAATTTTATATAGAATTTTGAAGATGAACCTCATTTTCATATGAGATTTTGAAAATTTTGAAACTATTTATTTTGTATAAATAAATTTTTGTTGATTTAATATATGTGTGCTCATAATTTAGTAATTAATTAATACATTAAGTTTTTAATAAAATTTATTTATCCAAAGATGGGAGATAATTTTAAGATAATAGACATATTAATAAGAAAATAGTAATTTGAAAAGAGTTTAAATAAGCTAGAAAAAATGTAAAATGAATTAAATGCTAAATTAAATAACCCTGAAGAATGCTCTGAAACTGAATTAGTATTATTTATTATTTATTAGATTCTTTAAAGTAATATTTATGAGAGATATGCACAAATCTTTATTGATATCAATTAAGTTTATCGTGCTATGAAATATTTAATAAATATGATTAAAATAGAAAAAGAACTTTTCAAAACTTAAAATGACAAAGAAAGTATACTAAGACTATGTAATTCTTATGCTAAAATTGGTAATAATTAATAATAATTTAAGGAAGATGTTGCTTTTATTGTTGTTACTATGAATAAACCTTCAAATACCTTGATTATGCATAATCATTGTTGATTAAACATAATCTAACAAAAACAGGTGTATATGCTATGACATTAACATAATTGGGAAATTATTATAGATTTATGTTTCAAGATGAATTAGCAGAGTAAATGCTATTTGAAAGTATCAAAATTAGAGAAGATTTATTTACAAGATAATCAATAGTATTATATATATATATATAAATTATAGGAAGTAGCTGATTCATTACATGGATTATCATAACTATTTTCTGATGAAGGTAAAATAGATGAAGCAATGAAATCTATTTCAGAAGCTATTTCTATATGGACAGATGTATTAGGATATTAACATATCAAAACAGCTAAATCTATTTATTTGAAAGGTAATTTATATTTAAGAATGAAAAATAATTAAGAAAGTATAATTATTAAATTAATCTAGATTTATCTTCTGCTGAAAAACTTATTACTGAAAGTTTAGAAATTAATCTTAAAATAATGGGAGAATCTTCTTAAGATATAGCTGATTGTTATCATTCATTAGGAAAAATTAAAGCATATAATAAAAATTCTAATGAATTTGAATCATATTTTAAAAAATCTCAACAGATCTTAAAAATATTGTATGGCAAAAGTCATGCAAGTATCGCAATTATTCTTAATAATTTTGGAAGATCTTATTTTGAAAGAAAATAATATGAAGAAGCTGTAAATTGTTTTGAAGAATCTATTAAAATATATACATAATTATGTGGCAAAATGCATGGTAATTTAGCAATTACACTTAAAAATTGTGCAGATTGCCATAAAGAACTAGGTCGATATAAATAAGCATATATTGACTATTAAAAGTCATTAGAAATATATTAGGTACACATTATAACAAAAAATAGAACATGTAAATAAACTCATCTTAGGCAAATTAAATATAAAATTTAATGTCCTAAATCTCAGATAAATACTTAGAGGATTGATATATAAAACTCAATTTATTAAAAAATTGTCAATATTAAACTCTTATATATGAGGTTTTTAGATTTTCTAATACATTTTTATTATAAACCAATAATCTACTTATAGAAAAATTGAAATTAAATTTATTCAATTATTATACAAGTTAAACTATCAGATTACATGAAAATCTCAAAATTCTTATCAATAGATTATAACATAATCATTTTTTAACATTTTTGTGATGAGATTCATTTAAAGCTTATTCTGAATTAAAAATAAATTATACAATATATATTTATATGTTTAATCTTTAAAGAAAATATTTGTTATTTTTTATATATATTTTATGTTATTAAATAATTAGACATTTAGCATTAATATTATATTGTTTAAAATAAAAATTATGTTTATTGTCTCATTATATTAAACAACTGTATTTTTAATGTTTTTCTATTCTAAATAATCTTTGTATTATTTCCAAATTTATTATTATATAATTCCATTTTAAGATTTATGTTTTATATACATCGTAATAAAATTTCTTGTAAATATTCAATTTAAATCAGCAAAAAAGACACTTGTCTTGAAAATTGTAATATAAACTTCAGCTTATTGATTTCATATAGATAATAAATTAAGTAATAAAATGAAATTAGAAAATGTTTTAATATTAACATATTAAGATGGTTTTTAAAACTTGAAATAGGAGACGAAGACATTTAATAATATATTCCTTATTCTTTAAGCATAAATAAATTATATTAAATATATATCTAAATTACATGATCATTCATTTCTCAGAGGAATTCATTATAAGATAAAATTTAGAGTTTTTATTTTCATAATTAGAATCTATAGTGGATAGTTTATTTAGTTGTTGTTATTATAAAGGAAATGAGAATATATAAAAATAATATCTTAAGAGTCTCAATAAACGCTAAAAAATTATATTAATCAAAATAAATTATTATCTGGTAAACATATTTTAAATAATAATTAATTATAATATTAAGTACTAATATTAGGTTTTTGAACGAATTATTTGTTTTGAAAAATAGAAATGATTGACTGATTTCTCTTAGAAAAAAATCAACTCAACTAATATTTTATTTATTATATTATAAAAATATAATAAAAATATTTTATAATTTAATCAAAAGAGAGTAAGTATCAAAAATTCAAATGAAATTTTCTAATAAACTTGAAATAAAAATTGATTAAATTTTTGATTATATATTATATTATGAAAAAATGGGAATGACTAAGTTTAATTATTTAACGGTAAGGGAATATATAATTTTATGATAATTTATTACAATAATTGTTATTATGTAGATCAATTAAGTAAATAATAATTATAAACTTTAGTCATTTCAAACTATACTCAGGCAAGACGAATCTTTAACGTTGATGTTAAAGGAAGAATGTTTTAAGGTTGCATTTTAATAGATTGGTGTTTGTATTTGTAATATTTTTTAGAGAAAATTCTAATTAAGATACGAATTATATTATTTCGTCATATTTAATGTATAAAAGATGATAAAGATGGATGATATTTTGATAATATATTTAAATAATTTCTGCCTATAGAATGAACATTGCATCAAATTCAAAATAAGAAATTGAACCCAATTAGACTACAACCAATGTATATAAATAACACAAATGTTGTTTTAGACAAATTTCATATGGACATCAAAAGCTGAAGAAAAACTTAAAGAGCTTCATGTATTACAATAGGGTAACTGGAAATCCATTAGTACATTATTAAATGGTCCTACTCCAATTGAATGTATGTATAGATGGCAATAACTTCATCCAGATTAAGTAAGTTATTTATAAAAACCAAGACTCCTTCAAGATAGTTATGGTCTCCTTAAGAAGATGAATAGTTGAAAGAATTAGTAGAAAAATTTGGAAAAAGATGGAGTAAGATCTGTACAGTAATGAATTGGAGAACAGGAAAATAGGTTAGAGAGCGTTATTTGAATTAGCTTTAAGGGACAATAAATTAAGATAAATGGACAGAAGAGGAAGATAGATTGATTCTGAAATTATATAGGAAATTTGGAACTAAATGGAGTTATATATCAAGTTTTTTGAATGGAAGACCTGTAAATTATATATTACTATAAACATAGGAAAATATGGTTAAGAATAGATTTTATGCTAATTTAAAGAGAAAATATTAATGTGATATAGTTGATTCTGATGATGATGATTTTGAAAAGGAATCTGTTATTTCATCAGACAATGATGAAAAAATTAAACTTAAAAAAAGAAGAAAATTACCTAAATCAACAAAGGATGATCAAAAATAAAAAAAAATTTAAGTTAATGATGTAAATTTAGAAAATCTCCAAAAAATGACGAGATCAAAGTAGAATATATAAAATGATGAAAATAGCTAAAAATTAGATGGGTCTAATGAAAATAGTTAAAGTATTCATTTTTTAAATATTCATTAAGGATTTCATAATGCCAACTCTTTGTTCTATAATCAAATCACTAATATTAAAGAAGAAAATTTATTAAAAATTAATCACAATAATATTAATTCTTAATTTCTTCAACAAACTTATCCTAATTAGACAGCAAGCTAAGATGCTTTGATGATAAATAATTCTGATATATTCTAATAATATTCCAATATGGCACTCTTAAATTAGTCGAATCCAAAAATAGTCACAGATCAAAATTAACATTAATATTAACAACAAAACAACTTATCTTAATTACCTTTTGCACAATATCCAGGAATTTAAATGATGAATCCATTCTTAGGTTTTGTCTCTCCATAAAAATACTTTGTATATTAGTTACCATTTCAATAAAATTTTAAAGATTAGATTAACTATTTACAAAAATGGAATGAATTCTCTACATTATACAATAATTAATTATTGTATAGTGGTTTGTAACCATGAGATTATTAAACAGAATGTAAATAAATTATATATGTAATCGCATTATATACAAGACATTTAATATATAATCAAATTTTCTTAATTGCTAAATTAAAATTACTCTATTTTATTTCCAGTTTTAATTTGCTTCTTAAATAATGTCTCAAACTTTTGCTAGTTGAATCATCATCTTCAAAATCAGATAAACCTTCTAAATTAACTCTTTTGTTATTAATGAATTATAAAACTTTTTCTTGTAGTTCCTGATAACTTTCCACTACTATTAAATTCAAAATAGACTAGTCGTTTTAGATTATTAAGTCTTTAATACAAATATAAAAATACCTTTTATATATTCCTTCTCTGTTTGAGTAATTAATTCTGCTTTCAATAATTGTTGCAAAATAAAAAAGACTTTTGCATATGGAGAATCTAATTACTCGTATTTTGCCATTAAATATAAATATTAATAAGTTATTTTGAATCAAAGAAACAAATAAAATATTATTTGTATCCAATCATTATTAATTATATTTTCAACAAAATGGATACAATAACCATGAAATTCATTCAATAGATAATACAAATTTTGATCAAAGTCTTTGGTATTCATATATGAAGAAATTTTTAAATTTTCAAATAACTGAAAAAGATGTCTTTAAATTAAATTATAAATAAATATTTATGAAAATAATAATAATAATTTAGATCAAACAAATAAACAGAACCATATTTAAATAAAGTTGAGTTGATTAAATTTAACCAAAGTAAGACAAATCTAAATAAACAAAATATAATACTTATTTGATGTTCCTATAATTTTAGCTCTATATATTGTTATTACCAAACCAATTAAATCAATTAGATTTCAAAAAATTTACAGGTAAAAACATTAGAAATGAAAGATAATTATATTATAAATGTCAATTGGTATTAAATGTTGAACATTTTTTTAATATATGAAATAATTCAACTAATGGAAATATAGATTTAAAATACTATAAGGATTTGAAAGATCATTAGCATTTTTTAAAATATATAAGTTGGATCTATAAAAGAATAGAAAATATGCAATCAATTCTAAACAAAAAAGAGGATCCAAATTTATAATGTAAGATAGATATAAAATAATATATTTAATTATTAAATAGAAACAACAGATATTATTAGAAATGTGATTTTATAAGTTATCTAAATGGTCAAACAAATACTGAGATCGTTTAGACAAGTATCAAGTATACATAATAATTATAAATAAATTTTTAAATACTATCTAAACTTAAATTATGAAAAAGGAGAAAATAAAAAATAAATAAGAAATGCAATTCTAAAAATAAAATGAATAATTTAAAATTGAAAGATGAATCTAATTCGAATTAAGAATTATAGCTAACAAAACCATAAGCTTTAGGAGCCAAAAATTAGAAATCTAACTAATAACAAAGGGTTTTCTCTAAAAATAAAATAAAGTTAAGATAATTCATCTAAAATAGTCTCTGAGAAGTTATAGCCTAAAAAGGGAAATATGGGACAATAGTAAAGGTAGCTTGGAAGTTAATTCTTATTGAAATTGCTAGCATTTTTAGCTTATTAAATTAATGATTGATAATATATATGTTAAGAAAGGCTATTTTGTTAGGAGCATTTACTACTGGATGCACATTCTTTATGCCCCCACAATAAAAGAAGGATCTTCAAGGATTTACAGCAGGCTTCATCAATTCCTTCTCTGCTATCAAAACATGTACTATAACATCTTAACTTAGTAATCGAATCTCTTTATGATTATCAAGTAGAGCTTACCAAATACGAATATAATACTGAGGAATATCATCAATAAAGATCTATTGTATGCATATTTATTATTATTTGTAGATTCATCAAAGAGTTGCTGATAGGATTTTAAGATTAAGTATTGAAAATAAAGGTGTTTACTTAAAAGCTGGGCAATATATTGGGAATTTGGAGAGAGTTATGCCAAGGTAAATTATTGTTAAATTTTAAGGGAATTTACATAAACACTTAGAGTATTATAAGATCAAGGTCCTTAGGTGTCTTTTGAAGATGTCAAAATTGTATTAGAGTATGAATTTCAGAAACCAATTCAAGAACTTTTTACATCATTTTCTCATAAAGCTATTGCAGCTGCTTCTTTAGCTTAAGTTCATTAGGCTACTTATGATGGAAAAGATGTGGCTGTAAAAGTACAATTTCCCTAATTAAGGGTTTAATACAGGTATGATTTAATGATAATACACAATATTGCTAAATTATGTGATTTTGTAGTATCAAATACTAGTACAAGTTAATTAAACTTTTCTGATTTATTTACTACTTTTAGAAAAGCTTTAGAGAAAGAGTTAGACTTTACTTTAGAAGTTTAAAATGCTGAAATAACTAGAAATAACTTTAAAAATAATTCTAGAATTTACATACCTTAATTTTATCAATATTCCTAGAGAGTTATTATTATGGAATTCATTGATGGTGTAAAAATTAATGATGTAAATAAATTAAAAAATCCAAGGGAATGTGCTAATATTTTAATTGATATGTTTGGATAAATGATATTCAAACATGGTCATGTCCATTGTGATGCACATCCAGGAAATATTTTAATAAGAGAATAAAATGGAAAATAATAATTAGTATTATTAGATCATGGATTTTACACAGATATTGATTAAGAAATGTTATAAAATTTTAGATGTTTATGGAATAATATTGCTAAATTTAATTATAAATAAGTGGAATAATATGCTCTTAAATTGGGCATCAAAAAAGATCATATTGAATTTTTACCTTTAATCTTTTTTTATAGAACAATATCATCAAAAAAGAAGTTGGGTGATGCATTCAGTATTGAAGAGAGATAATATTTAAGAAATAAAGATTTAGTAACCTTAGAAAATATAAATGCCTTATTAAGATCGATGCCACCTGAAATTATGTTTATTATAAGAGCAGCCAACTTAGTAGGAATTCATAATGCTTTACTTGGAGGTATTACTTAAGATAATATTAATTTAGGTACTACAAGAGACAGACTTTTAAAATTTACAGAATATTCTGTTAAAAATTCAGAAAAGAGTGTTTGGAAATAAAAATTTGAATGGATAAAATTAAAAATAGCTTTATTTTTATTTGAATTTTTTGGTTTAATTCCTAAATGAGTATTTTATAATGTAAATTATTATATATCTATTTTATGAATATTGTCTATGTTTTTAGATAAAAATTTGTAATCATTAATTAATTCACAACTTTACTGATTCAAAATAATATTCTGTAAAATATAATCTCAATTATTATTATAAATATTTTTATTACTTTATAATTAAGATACTCTTAATTATATGATATTTGAAATAGATATAAGTTTATGAATATTAGATAATCAATAATATATATAAACTATACTTATAAGAATAAATAAATTTATTTAAAATAATATATTTAATATGTCTCACAAATTTGTAATTGTTGGTGCTGGTCTCTCTGGGTTGAGTAATGCATTTTTCATAAAGCATTTTTTCCCAAAAGCTTAAATAACCTTAATAGAGTAATCTAATCGTGTAGGTGGGATGATTGTTTCAAATAATAGAAATGGATTTATTTGTGAGGAAGGACCAAGATCAATAAGAATG